CAAGCTATAGGACAAGAGGAAATAGCCTCAAGTTCCACCAGGGGAGGTTTAGATTGGATATTAGGAAAAAGTTCTTCAGAGAAGGGGTTATCAAACATTGGAACAGGCTGTCTAGGGAAATGGTTGAGTCACCATCTCTGGAGGTATTTAAAAGACAGGTAGATGTGGTGCTAAGGGACATGGTTTAGTGATGGACTTGGCAGTGTTAGGTCGATGGTTGGACTTGATGATCTTAAAGCCTAGACAGTTCTATGATTCTATTCTATGACTCTAAAGCAGTAAAAAGGTCAGTATGTATCTAGCCCTGTTCCCCCACAACTTGTGTCTTAAAAATAGCAATCCATTTTACCTGGGAGAGAGGGAGGTGCAAGCAGATTCATGAACTGTCCTGAAGGAACACTCTACATGAACTTCTGTCAGTAAAAGCATTAGCATTAGCATTCAAACTGTCAGCAGCAGTCAGGCCTTGTTCAAAAGGGTAAGGGAGCCAAGTGGCACTGTATTGAGTAGGTGGTGTTGCAACAGACTTATTCTAGTGTTTTCATGAGCTGTGTAGCAAATCATAGAATTACAGAATGGTTTAGGTTGGAAGGGACCTTAAAGATCATCTAGTTCTAACTCCTTGCCATAGGCAGGGACACCTCCCACTGGACCAGGCTGCTCAAAACCCCATCCAACCTGGCCTTAAACACCTCCAGGGATGGAGCTTCTACAGCTTCTCTGGGCAACCTGTTCCAGTGCCTTGCCACCCTCAAAGTGAAAAATTTCTTTCTAATATCTAATCTAAATCTACCCCCTTCCAGTTTGAAGCTATTCCCCCTCGTCCTATCACTTCATGCCCATGTAAAAAGTCCTTCCCCAGCTCTCCTGTAGGTCCCCTTTAGGTACTGGAAGGCCGCAATAAGGTCTCCCCGGAGCCTTCTCTTCTTCAGGCTGAACAGCCCCAACTCTCTCAACCTGTCAGTGGCTGCTATCTTCTTCTCTCAGTTATCCAGGAGTCTTCTTCTGGGCTTCTCTACTGCTTACACTAAATCTACTGATTCCCTAACTTGTTCAATTTACTATTGTTTGTATCCGTATCATGCTACCTACTTCTTCCCCGACTCCAGCTCTGGGAATCATGGGATCACAAATCAGCATAGAAAGGGAGCTTCTTCATCTGGCTGCCGTGGGTCTGCAGGTACAAACCCACACCCTTGCACCTCCTCCCTGAGGAGCACTCCACCTTTGTTTCTCCTGAGCAGGGAGAATGAGGCAGGGGCAAGTGTGAGGGTGCAGGAACGGACAGGACAATTTGGGATAGAAAGGTCTGTAATCAGCAGAGCACCCTCAACACCAGAAACAAGTCCTTTGGGCATGAAGTCATCAGGCCTTTGCTGCTGACACACGTGAAACGTAAAGGTATGCATTAAATATACTCTTCAGTGCCCCCCATAGTTAGCTCTACCTAGGGAATGACAGCTTGCCATTGTGAGGAGGTCTGCTGGGAGAACCTCTTCAGTGTTCCCGCGCTGCCCATGCTGCAGCCAACAGAAGCCTGCACCATGGTCTTCTGGAACAGGAGGGATTCTGTTAGTGTTGTTTTAAAAATAATAGCTTGAATGACAGATGGAAACGAAGAGCTCTGAGCAGCTTTTGTTTGCCAACCCACTCCTGCAACGTTACAAGGTGCTAGGGTTCATTCTGCCCCTTGCACGCGTGCTGCCCACGCTGCATACCACTGCGTGACACTCCAGAGGTTGCATGGTCAGTGTTCACCTTCACACCTGCATCTTCAGCGCACAGCCACTCAAAACACGTAACTCGTCTTTTCCTGTGTTCTCATGAATTGCTTCCAAATGCCTAAAGTCTCTTAACCTTTGATCACACACCTCTGTGTATGCTTATCGTTCTATTTAATGGTGTTGCTGCCTTTTATCATCACAAAAGACACCGATAAAATTACCTTTACCCTTCTTCACACAATAATCCCAAGCCAACATAACATAAAGGTTATGTGCTCACCTTAACACTCATTACTTTACAGCAGCTGTATAAAATGAGTTGTGAAACTTATCTTGTAGCTTTTGTTAAATGTTTTCAAATGCTTTAATCACAAACACGTAATTGAAAGCAAATTTTTTTTCACTGACCTGAAAGGGATCCTTATCAGAACTGAGATTGGAGTAATTTCCGGCTTTCTCTTCTGTTTTTCCATACTCAGACTGCCTAAGGTCCAACCTGGAGGTTGTGATTTGCAATGTTTTAATTTCAAGAGCACCTGAATGAATGTGGTGCAATGCAGGCCACCTGCTGCCCCTGACTGCTAGCTCCCAGGTGCCTACCTTGATGCCACACGGAGATTAGGTAGGCTACAGCTATTGGACTGAGCCAGAGCTGGGGAAGAAATCCTGAATTATAAAAGTTCCAAAACAAAAGAAAAAAAAAAAGTAACAATAAAACCCATACATTCTACTGCATTCACATAAGATGTCACTCAAGAAAGCTCTTAGGCACATATTTAAGATAAAATATGTCCAATTTTGCTCTGAAAAGGTTTCTGTGTAAGAAAACGATTTTTGGAGTGAGACCTCCACGACTGTACATAGTAAAAAGAAACATCTTCGCTGCCAAATCTGAAGTCCACTTGACAATCACCACGGTACATTTTATTACTGAAATATGTCAGATGAATATCACAACAAAAATTAAATATCTACCCAAAAGCATAACAACTAGTGATACCTGTGGCTACATCAGCCCCACACTCATGTTTACAAGATCTATTTAATAGGCACTTCAGAGACATGACAGGTACCAGACCAACAGTGATGGGTGAAGACAATGCTGCGCCCCAGCAGCTTCTTCACTAGACCTATAGAGACCGCCACTTCTCCATACACTCCATCTGTTTTCAACTGCACTGTCCATGCTATGGCGCATGGATCTGCTCTTCCATGCCACAGATCACACCCACCAAGGCATGCCCCTCACAGAACTGCGACAGAAATAATTTTCCAGTAATGCTCATTTGTCTCATTTGCTCTAGCAATTAAAGTCTTTTCCACAGCAATTCACAAATATACCCTACCAACTCAAAATATTTTATTTTCCAATTTTGAAGCTGCTGGAACTCACAGCTAACCATTCCCAATGCCATTATGAAATTAAGTACTGCTCTGCAAGTCTACAAACGTATGTGTGATGTAGACTACACTGATATAAAGCAACATTAGGAATGTGCTAATGGCCACAATGCGAAAACACATTAAGAAGATTTTCCATGTTAAGAATATGTTAGCTGATCCCAGTTAATTCTACTGACAGCACTCTAAGTGCTGTCACACACTAAAGCAGAGTGAAAATTTTCACCTAAACTATTTTTCAAGGGAAAAGTGGAGATTCTCTCACATTAATGAGTTCAAGAATCTATATTAATTTCCCAGGCTGCCTGCTTAGAAAAAAAATAAATAATTGTTTCAACCACCTCAGAACAAAAACAATTCAATTTTTCTACTATAACGGAATCCTTCAATTGTTAAAGAAAATATTATTTCTGACCTCAATCAGAAAGAAAACATTTTGTTTAATTTAATCCCCTTTTCTACTTCCAGATGGTTCACCAGCTGTTTTCAGAATATGTCATTTTCCACTAACTCCCAAACTGAAAGTATTTTTTTAATTCCTCATAAACAAAAAATAAAGCCCCACTATCTGGCTAGCTTTGCAGATAGCCCCACTATCCGCCTAGTTTTATTTGATACAATATAGGTAAAAGATGTTATTGACATCTTTTTCCACATGAAACATTTTTGCCACCTACATATGGAATAAGCATTCTTGCTGCATGGATGGGGTGTTCCCTTCTAGGGATCAGACTAGATGAGGCTAGCCAAGTGCTAGTATATGGCACTGCACCTCTTGTCCCAACAAAAACAATACCCAAATGCATACTAAACACAGCATCATTTTATAAATTATAGTGAGCTAAACCAAAGCAATTAGGTTCATCCAAGAACATCAGGATCATTTGCGGAAAGTAAAAACTGGTTTATGCAAAACAGACCAGTGGGTGTTAAAAAAGATGCTGTAATGCTTGAAGTCCTACTGGACACCTGGGCAGGTCAGATTTGGGGTGAAGAAGCTGGAGAGGTAAGAATTTTTTGAAAGAGATTCCTTTCAATAGCTCTTATCCTCACAGACACCTTTAACACAAGGATCCTGAGTATCATTACTCCCATTCTCCAAGCAGAGAACCAAAGCACCAAATAACATTCCAGAGCAGTGGCAGAAGACATCTCAGACTCCAACTCCTACTTTCTTTTTCCAGACCAGTGACAGAGAATCTGCTGTCCCTCAGAAGAACATCTGCCAGTGACATATTTACAAACAGCAACTGCGTATTTATCAAGTTAGGAGGTGAATTGCAAAGGAATGTAAAAAGTCTTGCCCTAAAGGGATCGTCATTTACGTAGGTGGAGAGCCCAGACAGGTTTGGGGATTTCACAACAAAGGTATGCAAATGTATTTACTGATCAGAGTTAGCTATGGTGAGCTCGTGGTATAGAGTGAGAGCTGATAAATTTCAATGGAGGAAGGATGGGAAAATGTTGTGTTGGACATATGACAGCAATCCAGGGTGAAATAAGACTGAAAAAAGTCAAAAGAGATGAACAAGAATGGCTCTGGATTAACATAGCCATTCTAATAGCTAAAAATTAAAAATAAAATAAAATCACATTTTGAGACAGTTTGGCTACCATCAAGTGCCCAATAACAGGATAAAAGTACATGGTATGAAATCTTACTAAATTGCATGGTAGGAAAAAAGTCACACCATGTGTGTATCGCTGGAGAATAAATTGAGTCATCTTTCCACTAATGGTCCTTTCAGTACTACAGCTCACAGGCATTTATGTCAGAAGTTGTTCTGACATGGACAGTGGCTATTTGTGCTGCAAGAATATATATGCTCCTGAAGCTGAGCTTCCAGCTCCTGCAGAATAGGAGCACTGGGGCTTCTAAACCTTTGGCAGTCCATCTTCACTAACTGTGCCATTCAGGATAATCTTAGGACTCTGCTTGTTGTCCTCAGCTTCTTCAGCCATACACTCCGGAGGCTCTAGGTCATCATATCTTCTCCGATAAACCACCCTTGAGATTAGGGTTATCAGAAACATTTCCATGATGAGGAGGCTGCTGGATCATATCTGCCAAAAAAAAGGGAGGCAAAGAAAAGCCCTCAAAAGGAGGAAATAACTATGAGACACAAAATGAATACCTGGCTTATTAATTTTCATCTATGCAAAAGGAACAAACTTTACTGTCCTGTCCCCATAACGGAGCATCTCACACTCAGCAATGAAATCAGTCACAGAATTACAATATTGCCCATCAATAAGCATGCAGTAAGTTATGTATCCAAAATGCAAGAGATTTAACAGTATCTATGCATGTTGTTTTCTTGACCTCTCATTTCTAATTCCAACTATTCTCATTATCAAGTTTTGCTCTGCAACTATGACAGCTATAAAACTTTTTTTTTAAAAAAAAAAAAACATAAAAGCTGAGATTCTTCAAAAGTTACATGATCCCAGGAGATTAGTATTTTAGGAAACCAACAGATACTGCAGTTAGCAACACTGAGGTGACAACCTCTATAAGTAAATGAACAACATCCTTCCCAGAAGAACTTACATGCTCCTCTTGCTGAAGAGGAGAGTGGTGGAGCACAGGGAATAATTCTTTGCATGGCCAAGATGTTGATAATAGCTGCCTGCAAGTGGTTCAGAATGAGGATAAACTGCACCAGAAAGAGAAAACAGATGCCTTAGCCACCAAGAAAAGGTTTACAGTTCACACAACAATTCTGCTTGCATAATAGACCCTCTTTTGCTTCATTCCTCCTTTCTTGCCCTCCTTCTCCTCCCATCTCCCAGCAAGCTGCCTGCCATTCTGCAGAATTCATCTTTAGGTCAGGATGGTATTGCTCTGAATGTGAGCATTAAATTAAACCTCTATTTGAAAAGTGTTTCTTCTCAGCCCTGCATTTGGGAGGTGCAATATACACAGATTTAAAAAAAAATACTGAGCTCTGAATAACAGGTTTTAAAAATTTCCTGTTAATCTGACCTATAAGCTTATGCTCTCCCTTAGAGTAGGAAGGACTCAAAGAACATTTTTTCTGTTGTCTCCTCTTTTTGCCACAGCCAGGAGATGTGGTGGTCCCCAAGTTACATGGAACTGGCTTCTCTGCCAGAAGGGATGAAGGACTCTTTGCAGCTTGAGTTCAGCAACAATCACTTATGCATTGTATTACCTGCTATTCACTGAGCTAGGCCTTTGCTGCCTTGGACATATCAAAGTGTATCTCTAGCTGCTGGTGTAACTGCCTGAGTATAAACCCTCTCATTAAGAGAGTTTGCCTTCTTAAATCTGGATTCACCCTAATGCAGCTTTGCAGGTGTGACTATCCTGTTTACCGCACTTATAAAAGTTTAATAATTTACTGAACAGACACCTGAGTGAACTAGCCTTTCTACACGTTCTGTTCAAGAAGGATGCGTATCCAAGGATTCTGCTGTACTCTCTTCAGGGTGATGTGGAAGAGGGTGGCCCTGTCAGTTCAAACAACAGCCACACACAATGCTCCACATCCTCTCCTAGTTTTTAAAAGTAGACATCAGCACTTTAACATTGTGTTTCAGGATCCTGCATCTACAAAGCTTCCTTCAAGCCCTGCAGAAGGTGCTGTTTTGATTTCAGTTGCCTAAAGATGAATGGATTTTACCTGGCTCTCTCATCTCCAGCACTCCTGAGAGACTAGAGGTAAATTGGCTCAAGCTGAAACCGAACTGCAGCCAAAGACAGTGCTTCAAAGGGATGCAGCTTTAATCAGGTAAAAATATGCCTTTGCACAGTGCATTTGGGACAGGGGTGGGGGTTGGGGGGTAAACAATACTATAACTTTTCAACAAAGGACCAAGAACCAGAAAGACAGTGTCATATCAACAGGTAAGAAAAATTTTTATCAGAAATAATAAACTTCTCACCTGATAAAGAGCAAACTTAGGGATGATCTTCTTACAGACAAGGAGAGTCCTAACTTGTTGAAACATGATTGCAACTGGCCACAGAGCAAGAATGGTGAGGACACCAACAAAGCAGCTAATCCATATTGCAGCTCCTTTGGGAGATAACTGAGAAGCAAATCAAACAAGTGTACCTATAAAACTTTACAGTGCATTTTACTATTTCCAGGAAGAAGTTGCAAAATGGATGATGCAGACGTTAAAATGCTTGTTTCTATCCCCCTGCAAGCTGATGGCAGCAGCAGTTGCTGGGGTTTGCATGGGGAAACTGCACAATACCAACTGGGGGGTTAGCATAGTGCCCTCACCCAGTGGGCATGGACATGTACATCTGTTCAGCCTGGGAAGGTAACAAGTGACACAACCCCACAACCTGACTCCAGCAGCACCTGGGAACGGTCAACAGCTCATGAGAGCACATTCAGCAGAGGCATCTCAGAGAGGCCATTTATTTTATACCGTGAAACAACCAAAAAAGCCTTTTAATCTGAGTTATCCAAGAGGTGCAGAATTATTAGCAGATACAGACTTCTCCATCATCTTGCAGCTTAGATGGTACAAAGCAGAACTACAGTACTATCTTTTCTACTTTGCACAGATAAAAAAAATCATCATGATTTGCAGAAAAAACACAGGATTAGGCTTCCTGTTTACATGCCAGTATATACACTTGTTTTTTAAGGCTGTACGTTACAAAACACAGGGCAGGTACATCCCACAGGGCAACCTGCAGTCCCGCTATTCTAACCATACAAGCTGGGAAACATACTGGAGCATAATCTGATGCCTAACCCACCCCGCTGGCCTGTTTCTTTCCCAGGGAAGACAGGAAATGGAGAGTCTGGGGGAAGACAGAAATTATATGCTTCGGGGTCTCAAAAGAATACAGTAAGGACTCACTTGAAAGTGCTCCCAGATTTCACAGTTTAGTTGTAGGCTAAGATACTAAGATACATCAATCCTAAAACGTAAGGATTTGGTGGACCATCTCTGATTAAAATATTTACTTACATTGTAAGGGGTGTAATTGCCATCAGTCCAAAGCACTATTGATAAAAACATGAGCACGGGTCGAAAGAAAGTAAACTGAAAGGTGCCCAGCTTCATCAAAAAGAGGGTTTGCCTGGCCAGAAAAAAAAAAAAACAAACCAAAAACCATCACATAGGCCAAAAGTCTTATTAGCAACCTTGGTAACATTTTTTTGATAGTCAGCTGCAAACCTTTCCCACTCCTGTAGCATGTGGCTAAAATCTGGTGAGGAACAGCTTCAAGATTAGAAAATCTTTCCAAGAATTACCCAGTGTTTATTTAGTAAAGTGTCTACAAAAATAGTACTTTTCCTGTTCTGCAGCAATTATATACTAACCGAAGCTGGGTAAAATGTGATGTCTTTCTCTGCTCTGAAGCTAACCAGAGAGCCAGCAACAGCATAACTGCTTTCTGAGCAATAATGCCAGTTGCTCTTGCCTTGCTGCCTTATTATTTCAGTTTTCCGATGGAATTGGGAAATGTAGTCTTCTTCCTCGGACACTTCCTAGTCCTGTGGTAGATCAAGAAAGGGAATCATACAAACCTAGGTGAAAGGACTGGTAGTTTTTTAGTGCATCATGAATACTAGCATGTAAGCATCTGGGTTTGCTCCTCTGTACTCTTAACAGGAGAAAGGAACTATCTTTCACTTGGCAAACTGCACAGGGCCAGCAGGACAGCTCAGGATTTCCTTACTTCTAGCATATAAAATGGGTCCAGAACACAGCCCGTACACAGTAACCTGGCCAGCCAGCATTAGAGGTCACCAGGAAAGGGGAAGATGCACTTCCTAACAGAAGACATGAAAGCTGACTGAACTGAACTCTCCTTCAGTCTTCACAGAACAAGCTGTGGCTGCTACAGCTGGCTCTTGTTTTAGTCTGTCACTCTGTATTTCCCATACTGTTAAAGTTGCCTTTGCTGTAGTTCCCTGGGCCCTTGAGACTGCCACCAGAGATGCCTCAGCAGACAACAGGCTGCCATTTAGTAGATTACAGGATATAGCCATGAACCAGGTATTACAGGAATTGCTCAGGTAATAGAGCTAATAACCACAGGGTTATGAACAGCACAAAGCACAAACACGTGTGCAAGGGCCTACAACTGGCCAGCCGTTTAGTGTATGTGCCTTTGCAAAGATTTCTTATTCCTAAAGGGCTTTAAAGAATAATATAACAAACAGGGTAGTTACTGCAATGCCAGGAGTTGTCTTCCTTGTTAATGCAGGCCTTAACCATCAGACGTCTTCTGCCATGACTCTCCCCACTGTAGGGATTGTTCCTTTGCCTCATCTGTCTACTGCACCTCCCAGGACTGCTCGATAGTATACGGCTTTTTAAAAGAATAAAACCCTCTCTTGGAGTAGCTCCCTGTTTCCCCAGAAGATAAGTACAGGAGGAATATGACTGACCTTTTTCTGGTATAGCTTGCTCATATTTAAAAAAAATTGTACTCTGTAATGGAAAAAGGCTAGAATTCAGAAGCAGAGATAGCAGATGGGTTTCGCAGCGCTACAGATGCCAGAGCTCTAAGCCCTCTGCAGAGCAAAAAGCCTTTTTTTTTTTTTAAAACACAGAGCTGTCCTTCCTCCCAGCAGTAGTAGGCACTATCTAGGTCCTGAAAGGAGTTAATATTAGCTAATATCATCCTGGGTAAGCTGTCAATGGGCTGATCAACAGGAAGGCAGAGTAGAGGATCCTCTCCCAAACTCCCAGCTACCATAACCTATACAGAGGGTGACATATGGAAAGAAAAATAAATATACTGGCGAAACGTTAGATCTATAGCACAGCTCTGTCCTATGGCATTTCTTCAGCTCTGATTGCTGAAATGAGGCTGAACCAATATCCGTGAAAATTAGTAGGAGTCATTTAGATCCATATCAGTAGTTGCTGATTTTACGTCATTGTAATATATCCCTCTTTGGAGCTATATTTTTCAGTTGGTTTACCACCTATTCTTCTTGGTGCCCCCTCCATGTAAATAATTACTGTTATTCCATTAAAATAAAATGATTGAAATTAGAGTTTAAATTCTAATACCAAATTATTGAGGAAGAATTATTACAATAAAAAAACCCAAGAATTATTGCAAAAGCATCACAAAACACTATGCTATGTTCTGTTTGCGGCTTCCATTTAGCTAGACCATAAAGTCCCTAAGGTCCCTCTGACACTAATGACCAGGCCCTCATAGAAAAGTCTCTGTCTTGCACATTCACTACTTCAGCTTTTGCTTTTAATGAGAGAAACATTCTCATAATCTGTGCCAGAATAAAAGCCCTGGGAAATGCACAAGGCTTCCAGGCTGTGGAGCAATGTGTAAATGACAGGGTGACACTAGCCAGATGAGAAGCCCCACCAGGCAGTGCTCAAAGGAGGCAGGGTTTGTGTTACAGTATATTGGCTTCCATAGGTGCAGCTCTCCATCCTCACCCCATTTCTCAAAGGTGTATTAATACTAAGTTTAGTAGAAGAAAATATTTGCTTTTGCCTCACCAGAAAATGACATTTTGTTGAGATCAAGGCTCTCTAGGAATTACATCTATTTTTTGTTCAAAAAATTATTTTAATCTGAAGCAGTTTTAAAGTCAAAATCAGAATGAAACATCTCAATTTCATCAAAGTAAGAGAATTTTTCTTTCAAGACAGCCTCAATTTGACAATTCTGCTTGTGAAAAAGACCCAATTTGGAGACATTTGTTCCCTTCGGGAATGAAAAGAAACTACAGTCTCAATTATTAGGTTTTTTAGAGTAGAAATTCCTCCTCCCACACACGACTGCTTACTACAGAATTTTATTTTTTTTTTAAAAAGAATGGGATTAGTTGGGAAGATACCACAGTGCTCAACATTACTATGAGTGAGAACACTGCACAGGGTTAAACTGAGAGAGGTCATACCCTCAACTCTCACACAAAATTCTGCATTATAAAAATTAAGTAAATTAGTGGTGGTGTACAGGCCCAAAGTGATGGCACTGTTTAAAAGAGACGGCTTGAGACTGACTTTCGGGAAGCAGGGAGGCCCTTTGCTGTAAGCCTGGCCTTGCCAAGTTGGCTGAATTCCAGCAGCCGTTTTCCATCTGGGAAATCTTAAAGGGCAACTCACCGAGTGATGCGTACAAGAGGGAGACAAAGGCAGCAGCAGCAGCAGGGACCGGTGCTGATCTTGAAGCGATCATTTGCAAACCTCCTGAG